GAGCCAGTAAAATCTGATGAGGCTATCAGAAAAAGGTCTTGAATTCTTGAGGTATTTCACGTATTCGAGGCTAAGCCTAATAGTCCCGGATCTTGGTTTGTTGGTTTTCCAGTGATGGGTAATGCCCGCTGACGAGATTTTCAGAGCACATCCCGCTTGTAAGGGTAATTGAGACAGGGATGCAGGTAATTGAAAGGAAGAACCTGAAAGAGAAGAGAGGAGGGGATGCATTATCTAATTGCAGTGCACAAATATGCGCATCTGTATAGTGACATTTTACATGCACATTAGTGAAAACTGATATAATGCCCGCTTAGAAATATGAAGGAAATTTATGATACTTTCTTTTCCAAACGGTTTTCTGTTTTTTTGTTTGTTTTTGCATGCACAAAAATACACAACCATAACAAAAAATATGACTCAGTGTAGTTGGAATAAATGCATTTAAAACGATAACTTGGTGGATGGAGAGATAGCTGAACTTATCGAGTGGGAGCAACTGATGGAAGTTGGTGGAAGCGTGTTTGAGACCAAGAAATATATTGAGCTTGTGTTTGAACATGCTCTTGGAAGACGCATCAACAAACTCCTGTGGGAGGCTGTTCCGTAATGGACGAACTCAAGTGCGGGACCGAGGTCTACATAGCTTTTTGCTGTGACCACGAAGAGTATCTAAGCTACATGGAGTGAAAAACTGGTTGGATGTGTCCGTGGAGAATAAGTGGTAAAGAAGGAAAAGGTCCGCTCCAATGCGGCGGGTGTTTAAGGGATAAAGGTTCAGAGTGGTGAGAAGAGTGGGGTATGGTACGTGGAAGAGACTTGATACTAGCTTTTTGGCTGCTCGCTGAACTCGTTCACGCGATTTGGGTTTCGCATTCTAATAACGGTCTTACATCATTACCATTTAAGAGTTGAAAGTCTTCTTCATCAAATCGAGGAAAGGAGAGCTTAATAAAGTTGAGTACCCAAATGCCTTTTTTCGGGCTTTTTGGTGGTGGCAAGAAAAAGATAGAGAGTTAGTTAACCATAATAATAATAATAATAATAATGGTATATTTCACGAAGCCCGTGAAGCATGCTTGTGTGCATGATCAAATGTACAATAATATAAAATTACAGTGGGGACAGGAAGTGATAGTACAGAGTTCAAGTATCCAATTTGCAAGGTGACATAGGAGGAATATAAATGTGCTGTTTTCCGTGAAAACGGAACACAAGATGGACAAAGGTCATAATATGTAACACAGAGGGTGAATTGTTATAGACACGAGCAAATGAGAGTTTGTCTTATGGAAAGAAGAAGAAAAAGAAAAAAAAATTTTGGCAAGTCCCACAGATTGAGAAAGTCGTTCAGGAGAAAACCAGAAGAAACGAGTTCAGCAGCAAGCACATAACGAAGATGAAACATGTGGGATATCGGAAAAAAAAACGGCAATGGAGCTGGAGAGGAGCAGGTTTATACGAGGAGAGACGCACAATGGATTATAAAAAAAGGGTTGCAAATGACCATACTGTTCGAAATTTTTCGGAACCAAGGAACGAGGGGCTTCAGGGCGTAACCGTGGACGGATTGTGTTTTTTATTATTTATATTATAAGCCAAGGATTTTAGCTGGTTGA